ATCTATTCAACGTATATTTTATGCTTGACCATAGCCTGAAGTTGTCTTCACTCGAAATCTACTTTGTCTTATTTATTCATAACTCGATTTCAGTTCACATCAAGCAGAGGTTAATTCATGTTATCTACTAATCTTAGTCGAGTTCAATGCACAATGCGCCATAGACATGAGTTGTTTAAGCAAGAGACTAACCGTCACGCCACGATGACCGCCCCCAGCAGGTTTATTCAAAGGAACGAAACATTTTCAATGGGTGGCTGACAGCTTTTAGGACAGTGTGCTCAAGTATTTCTTCTTGAATTGGTCAGTTCTTTGTTCTTTTTTAACACAAAGTTTTGGCTTTCTCGACGTCTGGTAATACCTGGTGATATAGTCTAGAATACTATTAAGACACTGGGCACCTCGAGGTGGTGTAATGGTTAGCAAGCTTGTCTCACTAGAAATATTACGACTGAGTAGTGAGTTCGATCCTCACTGGGTGCCTCATACTTTCGGCCTTGTGATGAGTTCGATCCATAGGTAAATTTCATTATTTTCAAATTATCGCCCCATTTGGTTGGTTTGGCTGCTTTGTTTTATGGCATATCAACCTCAGTGGGTCATTTAATGCCAACAAAATTTTGAAATAGATACCTAGCGATAGTTTGGTAAAAAAAAAGGTGTGTATGTATACATATATATATTTGAACCATTTTTTAATTACTGATATTTTTTAGTAGAATCCATCTTCTTTTAGGAAATTTACAATCTTGAATGGTTTTATTTTCGTAAAATTTTTAAAAATTACTCACTTGGTAATATTTTGTCCGCACTAGATCAAAATCTACAAACAGCATATGTTTCACTGTAAATTTCTCTTGGCATGTAGTGCATATTTGGGGATTCTGTGTCCTCTAGTAAATAATGGTAGGTGATGTAGATGTGGCCTATGTGAAGGTGGGTCAGCACAACTTGTTCTCTTCTATTTGTGTATTCTGAGTTCTATTCTCCAATAGAGGGTTTAATGTTTTGGAGTTTGTTATTAATGAATGTATTCCAAGGATGTTACCATTTTTTAATGATACTTTTCTTTACAACCGTCTTATAATCTGAGTATGGAATCTTTGTGTTTGTTATTGCATTGTTCATGGCTTTTTTTTGCCTCCGAATCCGTCCTGTCATTTTCCGGTATCCCAAGATGACTTGGGATCCAACAAAAGATTATTTCTTTATTTTTAGACAAGTGGTAGATTCTGTTTAGTACTTGTGTGGTTAAATGGCCACTAACATTTTTATTTTTCAATGCAGTAAGTGCTGATAAAGAGTCTGTGAAAATTATGAATTTATTGTGGGGCGTTGTGGTTATTATGTCAAGTGATAAATTAATAGCAATTATTTCATTACTATATATTGAAGCTATATAATCGCCCCATTTGCGTATCATATCGGTTTTTAACCTATTGCGTCTTCACGTGTCAGTTTCTGTTCTGTCGTATTTTCGAGACAATAGAAGCATTTAAAATGCTTATTAAATAACTTTTGTTGGTCTTTAGTATGAATGGAAAACCTCTGCCCAATAAGACCATAGATAGTGTGGACATAGATATCGACACTGCATCACGACTATCATTTTCACGCCTCAAGCAAATCAGTTACGAGATTTCAGAACACGGAAACCAAAATAAAGTTTAAAGATTACTTCCAGACCCTGAGTAACGAGTTCAATCCCAACTGGGTGCACCATACTTGCGGCCTTGTGCCACATCTACGCTATGCTTATTGAATTACTATCTGCCATTATTATCCTGGATAAATGTCATTTGAGGTGTTCAAACAGATGATAATAAAAAGGAGCCTAGTCTGGAATTGGGACAATGCTAGTAGAATTAGTATTTACTAGTATTAATGAGTATTTACTAGTAGAAATAGTATTTAATAATATTAATTAATATTTACTAGTAGAATTAGTATTTAATAATATTAATTGATATTTAATAGTAGAATTAGCATTTAATAATATTCATTAGTATTTACTAGTAGAATTAGTATTTACTACTATTAATTAGTATTTACTAGTAGTATTGGTATTTGCTAGTATTAACTAGTATTTACTAGCAGAATTAGTATTTATTAGTATTAATTAGTATTCACTAGTAGAATTAGTATTTATAGTATTGACTATCTGCATGGCCCGGCGTTGGCCGTGCTTGATTCAAAAATCGTACGACTCATACAGCAATCGCTATCACTTGACTTAAAATATTTTTGCCCTTCCTTGCCTTTAAAGGAGTGCCCCTTGCCGTGCTGATGTTGCTACATGCCTTACTTCTTGCCTATCTCACACTGCGATTTTTTTCTAAACTCTATACTAAACATTAAACAAAATGAACACAAAACGATCAGCTTTAAAAAAAAAGGACTCGTAGCAGGAAAAAAACGAATGAAAAAAGAATGTTAACAACAAATAATTTTTCACACCCAACCCAGTTCTGCGGAATCAGAGTCAACGTTGAGTTTAAGTAAGCGAATGAGCCAATTGGAGTAAAGTGCCATGCAGATTTAAAATTTTCCCACTTGTGACAAATGCAGCTATCGATTTTTTTTGCATGCTAGGATGCTAGTTAACATTCGTGTCAGTCAGCTGTTGGCTGTTACGCTGGCCAATAGAATCTTCCTGCCTATTCGTGGCAGTCAGCTATAGGCTCTCACTCTGGCCAGTAGGAAATGGCCGCAACCTACATGAAAACTGCCGTAGAAGCATGAAAAAATCGATTATTTCCACTATCGATAGGAGTTGGGAAATGCAAAGTCGGTCTTGGCCTTCCCGCTAACTTGGAGCATGTGCATGTAAACTTTGGTGCAAATCCGTCGAAAATTGCGGCCGTGCATTTCTTACACACACACACACACACACACACACACACACACACACACACACACACAACCTACCTTTTATAGATAGAGATTAGTATTTACTAGTATTAATTAGTATTTACTAGTATTAATTAGTATTTACTAGTAGAATTAGTATTTACTATTATTGATTAGTATTTACTGGTAGAATTATTATTTCCTATTATTAATTAGTATTTACTCCGGAATAATCATGTAAAAAAATGTTATTGTTGAATTCTTATGTTTCTTTTTTCATAATAAATATTGTTTTAAAATGCCTGATAATAGAAATGGAGACAATAATTCACGACTTTATATAGGATGATATACTATTGTTAATTCACCACTCTCTATATGATATGGGTGACTATTAATAATTAATTATTATTATTAATAATTAAAAAATCAGTTTGGAATTATCCATACGGATTACCAAATAATATCATTCATATATATATATATATATATATATATATATATATATATATATATATATATATATATATATATATATATATATATATATATATAGATATAGATATGGTAGTAATATTATCCTATATATATATATATATATATATATATATATATATATATATTATAAATTAACTGATTTAAAATATGTTTTTTTTTACACAGTAATAAAAATATCAATAAGAACACCAGATTATATATCTTACTGTTCTTTCTTCTTATATATATATATATATATATATATATAATATTATTTGCTATATATTATTATATATATAATATTATATATATATATATATATATATATATATATATATATATATATATATATATATATATGATAATATTATTTGGTAATCCGTGAATAATCCCAAACTGATTTTGGTCTGATGAGATGAAACCAAGTATCGGTTTTCCGGAATAAAATATTACTATGGGTTTCTAAAGTCTTCACTTTCATAATTATATATATATATATATATATATATATATATATATATATATATATATTAATAATTAATTAATTATTAATAATAATTATTAATTATTATGACTGGGCCTTTATTCTGAGAATTACTTATTATGCTTTGTGCCTAACATTTAGGACAATCTTGTAAATGACTGGGCCTTTATTCTGAGAATTACTAATTATGGTTTGTGCCAAATATTTTGGACCATCTTGTAAATGGCTGGGCCTTTATTCCTAGAATTACTTATTATGGTTTGTGCCTAACATTTTGAACAATCTTGTAAATGACTGGGCCTTTATTCTGAGAATTACTTATTATGGTTTGTGCCTAACATTTTGGACAATCTGGTAAATGACTGGGCCTTAATTTTGGGAATTAATTTTTATCATTTGTGCCTTAACTTTATGGACATCCCTTGTAAATATTTGTGCTTTACTTTCTGAATTCACTTGTAAATATTTTCCCCTTACTTTTGGAAATGCCTTGCATAACAAATAAGCACACACTCACATTGATGTAAAAATGGAATAAAGTGAAGAAAAAACTTTAAAAGATGATTTATAAATTGTAAAATGTGCTGATGGATGTACAAAAGGGGAGAAAATTTATTAGACACATGGACATATTCTGAAATGAGAGGAAAAAAATAAAAATTAATTCATACATCAAATAAATTTTCTAGCAAAGAAAAGGAATTTATGAATCAAAGTAAATAGAAAAAAGTTACACAAGGAAAAACCGAAAGCTTTATTATAGAAACAAGGGGAATGAAAACATAAAAGAAATACAAATAAAATACTATATATCAATAATCCTTATAATTCATTCAAAATCAGAAGAAAATACAAAAATAGGTAAAATCCCTGCTCTTTATTACAGTGGCTTCTGTGAGTTGGATTATAAGCATGTTAACAGTGAGGGTGATGTAGGGGAAGCAATGATAAATTAGAAGGTAGAAGTTGCTAGATAAGGTGAACAAGAATGGAGAAAGTGGCGTTGTTGAATAGGGAGAGGTTATTGCAGCCATTTGCTGAGGTGACATCTTGTTAAATGCCAGAGTGCCATTGTGTTGTCAGCTGAATGAAGGAAAAATTGGGCTGAAATTATTGCAATGATTGTGGAGAGTTTTTGGGGATTGTGAAAGAAGTGGGGGTCTTTATCAATGAGAATCAGAGATTTTTTTTATACTTTGTGATTTCTTTTTTTGTTTAAGGAAAAGAAGAGAAAAATAAGGGAAGAAAACAAAGAAGGAGAAGAGCCAAAAAGGAGGACGAGGAAAAGAAGAAGAAGAAGAAGAAGAAGAAGAAGAAGAGGAGGAGGAGGAAGAGTACAACATGTACAACTAAGGCATATTAGTAGAATGAGGAGGAGGAGGAGAAGGAAGAGGAGAAGGAGGGGAAGAGGAGGATGTGTACAAGAAGTAGAGAGAGAATGGGCATTGAGAAAAAAGCTCATTTGGTAAAGAAAACAGTAACAAGAAGAAGAAGAAGAAGAAGAAGAAGAAGAAGAAGATATTAAAAAAGGAAAAGAAAGGAGAAAGTATAGAGTAATGAAAATGAAGAAAGGAGAATGTGTAGAGTAATGAAAATGAAGAAAAAGAAGAAGAAAGAGAAAGACACAAAGACAGAAAATTAAGAAAAGAAAGAGAAAAAGGAAGGAAAATGCAGGAAAGGAAAAAAAATAAGAGGATAAGAGGAAGTGATATAGAAAGTGGTAAAAGAGAAAGAAAGTAAAAAATGAGAAAAAGAAGCAGCAAGAAGAGAAGGGCATGAAAAACAAAACAAAGAGAAAGAGAGGACTGAGGTGAAAAAAAGGAAAAGAAAAGAAGATATAGAGAAGGAAGGAGAAAGAGATAATCATAGGGAGAGGCAGAAGTAAAAAGACAGTAGAAAGAGAAAGGACCATAGACAATAAAGGAGATTAGAGACACTGAGAAAAAAGAAAATGAAGGGGATAAGGCAGAGGAAGATGATGTAAATTAAGTAGGAGGAAGGGGAGAAAAATAAAACAATGGACGAAAAAGAGTCAGAGAAAGAAGAAGAAATGAAGGGAATGAGGGAGAGGAAAAATGAGGAGGATAAGAATTACTTAGTATTAAGAAGAGGAGAAGTAACAGTAGGTAATTTGAAGACAGAAAGAGAGAAAGTAGAAATATATTTAGAAGAGGGGAAGAAGCAGTAGATGTTTTGAAGGAGGAAGGAGATAAAGGAGGAGAAGACAGGGAGCAGGGAGAGGAGGAGGAGGAAGAGAAAGAAAGGACTGTGTAAGGAGAGAGGGAGAAGGTAGAAAATATATTTAGAATTAAGAAGAGGTGATAAAACAGTAGATGTTTTGAAGGAGGAAGGTGATAAAGGAGGAGAAGACAGGGAGCAGGGAGAGGAGGAGGAGGAAGAGAAAGAAAGGAATGTGTAAGGAGAGAGGGAGAAGGTATGTAGAAATATATTTAGAATTAAGAAGAGGTGATAAAACAGTAGATGTTTTGAAGGAGGAAGGTGATAAAGGAGGAGAAGACAGGGAGCAGGGAGAGGAGGAGGAGGAAGAGAAAGAAAGGAATGTGTGTAAGGAGAGAGGGAGAGGGTATGTAGAAATATATTTAGAATTAAGAAGAGGTGAAAAAAAACAGTAGATGTTTTGAAGGAGGAAGGTGATAAAGGAGGAGAAGACAGGGAGCAGGGAGGGAGGAGGAGGAAGAAAGAAAGAAAGGACTGTGTAAGGAGAGAGGGAGAAGGTATGTAGAAATATATTTAGAATTAAGAAGAGGTGATAAAACAGTAGATGTTTTGAAGGAGGAAGGATAAAGGAGGAGAAGACAGGGAGCAGGGAGAGGAGGAGGAGGAAGAGAAAGAAAGGAATGTGTAAGGAGAGAGGAGAGAAGGTAGAAAATATATTTAGAATTAAGAAGAGGTGAAAAAACAGTAGATGTTTTGAAGGAGGAAGGTGATAAACGAGGAGAAGACAGGGGAGCAGGGAGAGGAGGAGGAGGATGAGAAAGAAAGGAATGTAAGGAGAGAGGGAGAAGGTATGTAGAAATATATTTAGAATTAAGAAGAGGTGAAAAAAACAGTAGATGTTTTGAAGGAGGAAGGTGATAAAGGAGGAGAAGACAGGGAGCAGGGGAGAGGAGGAGGAGGAAGAGAAAGAAAGGAATGTGTAAGGAGAGAGGGAGAGGGTATGTAGAAATATATTTAGAATTAAGAAGAGGTGAAAAAACAGTAGATGTTTTGAAGGAGGAAGGTGATAAAGGAGGAGAAGACAGGGAGCAGGGAGAGGAGGAGGAAGAAGAGAAAGAAAGGACTGTGTAAGGAGAGAGGGAGAAGGTATGTAGAAATATATTTAGAATTAAGAAGAGGTGATAAAACAGTAGATGTTTTGAAGGAGGAAGGTGATAAACGAGGAGAAGACAGGGAGCAGGGAGAGGAGGAGGAGGATGAGAAAGAAAGGACTGTGTAAGGAGAGAGGGAGAAGGTATGTAGAAATATATTTAGAATTAAGAAGAGGTGATAAAACAGTAGATGTTTTGAAGGAGAGGAGAAGACAGGGAGCAGGGAGAGGGAGGAGGAGGAAGAAAAGAAAGGAATGTGTAAAGGAGAGAGAAGAAATATACTTAGGGAGCAGGGAGAGGAGGAGGAGGGAAGAGGAGGAGGAAAAGAAAAAGGACTGTGTAAGGAGAGAGGAGAAGGTATGTAGAAATATATTTAGAATTAAGAAGAGGTGAAAAAACAGTAGATGTTTTGAAGGAGGAGAAGACAGGGAGCAGGGAGAGGAGGAGGAGGAAGAGAAAGAAAGGACTGTGTAAGGAGAGAGGTAGAAGGTATGTAGAAATATATTTAGAATTAAGAAGAGGTGAAAAAACAGTAGATGTTTTGAAGGAGGAAGGTGATAAAGGAGGAGAAGACAGGGAGCAGGGAGAGGAGGAGGAGGAAGAGAAAGAAAGGAATGTGTAAGGAGAGAGGGAGAAGGTATGTAGAAATATATTTAGAATTAAGAAGAGGTGAAAAAACAGTAGATGTTTTGAAGGAGGAAGGTGATAAAGGAGGAGAAGACAGGGAGCAGGGAGAAGAGGAGGAGGAAGAGAAAGAAAGGGAAAGTGTAAGGAGAGAGGAGAAGGTATGTAGAAATATATTTAGAATTAAGAAGAGGTGATAAAACAGTAGATGTTTTGAAGGAGGAAGGTGATAAAGGAGGAGAAGACAGGGAGCAGGGAGAAGAGGAGGAGGAAGAGAAAGAAAGGAATGTGTAAGGAGAGAGGGAGAAGGTATGTAGAAATATATTTAGAATTAAGAAGAAGTGAAAAAACAGTAGATGTTTTGAAGGAGGAAGGTGATAAAGGAGGAGAAGACAGGGAGCAGGGAGAGGAGGAGGAGGAAGAGAAAGAAAGGAATGTGTAAGGAGAGAGGGAGAAGGTATGTAGAAATATATTTAGAATTAAGAAGAGGTGAAAAAACAGTAGATGTTTTGAAGGAGGAAGGTGATAAAGGAGGAGAAGACAGGGAGCAGGGAGAGGAGGAGGAGGAAGAGAAAGAAAGGAATGTGTAAGGAGAGAGGAGAAGGTATGTAGAAATATATTTAGAATTAAGAAGAGGTGATAAAACAGTAGATGTTTTGAAGGAGGAAGGTGATAAAGGAGGAGAAGACAGGGAGCAGGGAGAGGAGGAGGAGGAAGAGAAAGAAAGGAATGTGTAAGGAGAGAGGGAGAGGGTATGTAGAAATATATTTAGAATTAAGAAGAGGTGAAAAAACAGTAGATGTTTTGAAGGAGGAAGGTGATAAAGGAGAAGAAGACAGGGAGCAGGGAGAGGAGGAGGAGGAAGAGAAAGAAAGGACTGTGTAAGGAGAGAGGGAGAAGATATGTAGAAATATATTTAGAATTAAGAAGAGGTGAAGAAATAGTAGATGTTTTGAAGGGGGAAGGAGATAAAGGAGAAAAGGATGAGGAGTAGGATGAGTAGGAGAAGAAAGAGGATGAAAAGACTGTGTAAGGAGAGAGGAAGAAGACATGTAGAAATATATTTAGAATTAAGAAGAGGTGAAGAAATAGCAGATGTTTTGAAGGGGGAAGGAGATAAAGAAGGGGATGGAGGGAAGAAGAAAAAATGTTTAAAATCTTGGCATAAGATAAAGAATAGAAGAAAATACATGCAGAATAAGATTGTGAAAATCCAGAATGAAAGTTAATTTTTTTATTGTACATTGATGATTTGATATTGGTAAAATGATGAAATCTTTCTCAGACTTGTGATTAAGATTTTTTTTATTATTTCCCTCCCAAGCAAAATGATAAAGCCACTAAAATCCAAGGTGTTACTGGAATTGGAAGAGAATATGAAGACTTTAGTAAGGACAAAGGATAATAAAAGAACGAGGTTCATAAAAACCAAAGATGAAGTGGTGACTGTTGTTGAGAGGTATGAGAAAAAAAATGAAATGAGATTGAAAGAGCAGTAATGGAAAATTTGCAGAAGATTTGAAAGAGAGGTATGGAAGAAAAATCAAAGGTCATTTGAAAGAAAGTAGAGAGGAAAGGTTAATGAAAACATGAAATAGAAAAAAAAAGAAATGATACTGAAAGAGCAAAAAGTGACACAGAAAGAGAGGTAATGGAAAAATTAAATGATATGGAAAGAGAGGTAATTGAAAATTGTAATGACATTGAAAGAGAGGTAAGGGAAAAATGAAATTATATTGAAAAAGAGCTAAGGGAAAATGAAATGATATTGAGTGGTAATTGATAAATGGAGTGATACTAAAATACAGGTATGTGAAAAATTAAATGATATTTGAAAGAGAGGTGAGCAAAAACTTAAGTGAAAGTTGAAAGAGAGGTAATTGAAATGAACTAATTTTGAAAGAGAGGAGGGGAAGAAAAATGAAATGATATTGAAAGAGAGGTAGGGGAAAAATGAAATGATATTGAAAGAGAGGTAATTGAAAACTGAAATGATATTGAAAGAGAGGTAGGGAAAAAAATGAAACGCTATTGAAAGGGAGGTAATTGAAAACCGAAATGATATTGAAAGGGAGGTAGGGGAGAAAAATGAAACACTATTGAAAGAGAGGTAATTGAAAACTGAAATGATATTGAAAGAGAGGTAGGGAAGAAAAATGAAATGCTATTGAAAGAGAGGTAATTGAAAACTGAAATGATATTGAAAGAGAGGTAGGGAAGAAAAATGAAATGCTATTGAAAGAGAGGTAATTGAAAACCAAAATGATATTGAAAGGGAGGTAGGGGAGAAAAATGAAACACTATTGAAAGAGAGGTAATTGAAAACTGAAATGATATTGAAAGAGAGGTAGGGAAGAAAAATGAAATGCTATTGAAAGAGAGGTAATTGAAAACTGAAATTATATTGAAAGAGAGGTAGGGAAGAAAAATGAAACGCTATTGAAAGAGAGGTAATTGAAAACCGAAATGATATTGAAAGAGAGTAGGGAAGAAAATGAAACGCTATTGAAAGAAAGAAAACCGAAATGATATTGAAAGAGAGGTAGGGAGAAAAATGAAAGAGACTAATTGAAAGAGAAAGGGAGGAAAAAAAATGAAACGCTATTGAAAGAGAGGTAGGGAAAAAAAATGAAACGTAGGGAAAAAAATGAAATGCTATTGAAAGAGAGGTAATTAAAAAACTGAAATGATATTGAAAGAGAGGTAAAAGAAAAATGAAATGCTATTGAAAGAGGACGTGAAATGGGGAGAAAAAAAAATGAAATGCTATTGAAAGAGAGGTAACTTAAAAACTGAAAGGACAGGAAGAAAAATGAAACGCTATTGAAAGAGAGAGTAATTGAAAACGAAATGAGAGGGAGGTAGGGAAAAAAATGAAAATTGAAATGCTATTTGAAAGAGAGGTAAATTATTGAAAAGAAGGTAATTGAAAACTGAAATGATATTGAAAGAGAGGTAGGGAAGAAAAAAAATGCTATTGAAAGAGAGGTAATTGAAAACTGAAATGATATTGAAAGGGGAGGTAGGGAAGAAAATGAAACGCTATTGAAAGAGAGGTAATTGAAAACGAAATGATATTGAAAACAGGGAAAAAATGAAATGCTATTGAAAAGAGGTAATTAAAAACTGAAATGATATTGAAAGAGAGGTAGGGAAGAAAAAATGAAATGCTATTGAAAGAGAGGTAATTGAAAACTGAAATGATATTGAAAGAGAGGTAGGGAAGAAAATGAAATGCTATTGAAAGAGAGGTAATTGAAAACTGAAAGATGATATTGAAAGGGAGGTAAGAAAAAAAATGAAACGCTATTGAAAGAGAGGTAATTGAAAACTGAAATGATATTGAAAGGGAAGGGAGAAAATGAAATGCTATTGAAAGGAGGTAATTGAAAACTGAAATGATATTGAAAGAGAGGTTGAAAAATGAGAGGTAATTGAAAACTGAAATGATATTGAAAGGGAGGTAGGGAAGAAAAATGAAACGCTATTGAAAGAGAGGTAATTGAAAACGAAATGATATTGAAAGGGAGGTAGGGGAGAAAAATGAAATGCTATTGAAAGAGAGGTAATTGAAAACTGAAATGATATTGAAAGAGAGGTAGGGAAGAAAAATGAAATGCTATTGAAAGAGAGGTAATTGAAAACTGAAATGATATTGAAAGAGAGGTAGGGAAGAAAAATGAAATGCTATTGAAAGAGAGGTAAGCCAAAAGTTAATTGGTATTTGAAACAGATGTAGAGGAGTAAAATAAAAGAAGATTTGAATAAAAAGTGAGTTTGTCAAACTTCAGCAGACATGTATATGCTAATATTTGTTACAACTGAAAAATTGACAAGTATTTCATGTCGTGCCTAAAATTACTTGTTGCTGTATAATGTCAGACATTGATTCTTTCTTTATTCTTCTTCTAGCAGTTCTTCCGTTTTCCTTCTTTTTTTAACCATTGTCTGTCAACCTCTTCCCTTTACGCATTTTTCTTAGACGCTAGCCACTAAGAAGAACTCATCTGAAGATTCTAAGGAAGGAAGGATAATATGAAGCAGGAATTTAGTGTATTGAATAATTCATAAGAAAAATGCAAGGAAAAAGTAATCCCAAAAGTGCATATGAAAGTAGAATCCTGTGTATACGGGAAGTGAATGAGGTTTATTGGGAGATTGTTTAAACAAGTGAGGATTGAGACATGTTTGTTCACATCTATTTCAGTCTGAAAAAGAAAAATATCAACGAAGAGACAAAAATAACAGGAATAAATAAATAAAATCTCAGATGGTAGAGATGAAAAATTCTTACTGGCCACACAAAGAAGGAATTTCATATTTTGAAATATCTATTTCAGCATGTTCCATATCTAAGTCTGTTCGCTATCTCTTTCTCTCTCTCTCTCTATCTATCTATTTAAGTCTATTCCATATCTATCTATCTATCTATCTATCTATCTATCTATCTATCTATCTCAGTCTGTTCAATATCTATCTATCTATCAATCTCAGTCTGTTCAATATCTATCTATCTATCTATCTATCTATCTATCTATCTATCTCAGTTGTGTTCCATATCTATCTATCTATCTATCTATCTATCTATCTATCTATCTATCTATCTATCTATCTATCTAGTGGATAATGTAACCTAAGTAATTCACTTTAACACACCAAACATCTGATGCACTCAAAATTCAGATAATAATAATATCTATAATAGCATCAAACCAATACACACACACTCATGTACATCCAAATATACTGATAAACGTAACTTTTTTTTGAAACATGGAATTTGCTCCCACACAATTAACATATGTCTAACCAACAATCACCGCACATACTGACACCATCAACTCTTGCATGACCAAATAGAAATATGATACATACGTATAGGTATACCCTTTTTCTGTCTTACTCCCACTACCGAATTAAACATGCACCAGAGAGACACAAAAATTAGAATCCAGACATTCCCATGAACATACACTAAGACCAGAAGGCAAAAACACATGAGATCTGCCTGACCAATGAGAAAAAACAACACAGAATTCAAAATGTATCTCTCTATATTTCTGAGATTAGGTATTATGTACACTGTTTACATTATTCGGACTATTGTCTTCATCTTTGTCGCCATATCTATGACAATGTTTCAGCTGTTGTACGCTCCAGCCTTCTTCAGGTGGTTGGAATGTTGAACTTAACCCTTTATTTTGCTCACTGGGGTACACTGTTCTAATTCCACGTGTCATGTTTAATGGATGTCAGTTATCTCATGTTAATTCCCCTCTCCAAGTTCTCCACTGCTTTAACCGGGTATTGAACTCACATTCTTTGGATTCTGTTACTGGATCTAACCAACGCCTTTATCCACTGTGCCATGGCACGTGGAAGTAGAAATTGAAGATCAAATGGAACTAATGCTCTTAATTTAATTATATGATTAAATTTAAAGTTTTTAGCTTCCATTTTTGAAACATGGATATTATTGTGTAGTGAAAAAACCATATTTTTAATCAGTTAATTTATAATATATATATATATATATATATATATATATATTTGCGTTTTTAGGCAGCAATCCTATTTTCATGCACATTTCATTGAATAGGATAGACAAGGTGCCTTGATTTATTTTTTTTTAAACAATTTCTCATGGGATTTAATAATTTTTTTCTTTTCAGATGTAAAATTTTATAAAAACTCTCTGAATGTCCTTTTCATCCAAGTGCTTTCGGCTATACATTTAGCTATTTTCTATGCTGAAACATTTTAACTGTTAAATAATAAATTTTTCATTATTTATATGTTGGATTTCTTGCCACAAGGTCCCCAAATGACCCTCCACAGGTTTTGAATTCAGACTTGTCCTTCTCCTAGACCAGTTGCCACCCAAGGCTATAGAACCCAGTCTGTCCTGCTATTTATACATAGGGTATTAGCAATGTAAGTGAATGTAATGGATTCGACTGTAATTCGAACTCGGCTCTCCGATTCCTCAATCCAAGCAGCTATCCATTACTCCACCATACCTCCTTTTATATATATATATATATATATATATATATATATATATATATATATATATATATATATATATTGTCATCTGCAGACAGACTGTTTCACTGTATCACAGCTCAGCAGAGTGGTTAGACATTGGCAACAGTCAGAGATTTTGCTTGAGCTATCAGTATCTTTTGAGGGGAGGGCTAATTTTTTACATACTTATTCTTTGAATAAGCACAAAAATGACCAATATATATATATATATATATATATATATATATATATATATATATATATATATATATATAGTATATGATTGGTGTATACAGAATAAATTCCAATAACCAAAAAATACTATTCTTAAAAGAGTGCTCAATACATAGTAGAGCAAATATAATTATTTATTTAAAAATAAATATGTTATAAAATCACTACAAAAATAGCCATTTTGTTTCAACACCTCTGGTGTCTTATCAAGTGATGATGTTGAATATAGAATAAAGAGTTTTAAAAGGTTCAAATTAATTAACCACCCCTCGTAAGGGGAAACGCTGTCACATGAGCTGAAATGACCAATTAAAATAGAAGTATATGAGAATTCAAAAAACTTGACAATGAAGTAAGGTTATAATAACTATTAAATGCTTTAATGTTGGGGTTATACTAAAATAGAATTTATTCTAACTAATAACTATTAAATTGTACGATAAAATTTGAAATTAAAATTAAAAACTAGACATTTCCAAAATGTTTAAAAAAGTTTAAAATTTTAAAATTATTGAGGAAAAAAGAAAAAATACATATGTTATTCTATATATATATATATATATATATATATATATATATATATATACATATATATATATATATATGTATGAGTGTGCATGTATTTTAGTAGGTATTTGTGTTTGAAACAGATACCCTGTTTTTATTTTAAACAGTCAGCTTGCAAACTTCAAAAATCTTAAAGAAGACATGTACATTCTGATGGGGTTTAAATGTGCATCTCACTTTGTATGAGAAACCAGCATTGGATTTATTGTGCTTTAGACCCTCCATACCACAGAGAGCATCACATCCCAGTATGGTCGTATTTTCCGTTTTAAGGAATGCACTCTCCATCATTCAGATTTTGTGCCAAAGCTCATACATGCTGAGGTTCGTATCTAAAATTTAAACAGAGCAATTTCTAAAGGCTTAATGAATTTATTTTTAATCTGAGATTGTATTAATTCAGAAACCAGTAACCTTTGCTTTTTATCCCACTGTATGGATGCAAAAGTCGATTATCTCCCTTTGGTTGAGTTGAACCCATGAGGGTCCCATGAGGATCCCATGATGGCTGTCGAGTGACATCAGTTCATACATTAAACGAAAGCAGTCAGTCATTAGTTAGCTGCCTGAAGTAAGGTCGGGCAAGGCTAAACCTGCTTGCTAGGTGCAGCCCAAATACACACAGTGCTATTTCCCCATTGAGAAAAATATATTATCATCAAAGACATATAGAAATTATGTTTGGCTTGCTGTAGTCCTGTTGGGAAATATATATAACTTGCTATTTTCACATTAGGAAATATGTCCTCAGAGCCAATAACTTTTCATTATTCTCTCACTGCTTGTTGTTGTATGCATGTGTTATAATCTCTCTATGACAAGTGTAAATATATGCATATAATTTTGTATAATTTTTAATAAAAAAACAGACCACTTTAAGGTTCCATATAATAAATTATTTCACCACAGCCCTTTTAAAGGGCTCTGGATCATCAGACTTTACTTTTTTTCACTAAAAAAATGTATTAAGCATATGTAAATTAACATATGCTTAAAATGTCCCATCAAAAATGTGTAAATTTCTTTTATTTTTCATTTCAACCTTTGGGAAGTAAAGTCTGATGATCCAGAATTTAAAAAAACTGTGGGTGAAATAACTTATTACATGGAACCTTAAAGTGATCTGTTTTTATTCAGACATATTTGCTCTGAATTTACATTGAGCTCTCTGATATCATCCTCCTTGGGTCTACCCATATGGATTACCTAGTTTTGCATAAACTAAATATATATATATATATATATATATATATATATATATATATATATATGTGTGTGTGTGTGTGTGTGTATGAAGGCCATCTACATTAAAACAAAGCAACCCACACTCAACAAAATTAAATTTCATACCAGTCACAACATATTACAATGCATTTAAACACATGGTTCTGTTGATAACATTTCTTTCTCTCATGTGCTCATGTACAACGTCATAGAACCATATTATGAATTTACAACCTGTTTCTGCTATTCCCTGACTGTTATCATCGCATAGCAAAATTCTATGTATACATAACAGGATGTCATCTTTGATGGTGAACATCTCTGTCGTAATGTCCATATAACCACTCTGATGATGGATCATGTGAGCCGAAAGCTCAGATTGAGGAACAGCATAATAATAAAAATATCCAGATGTTGGACAGTTCTTGTCGTTATTTTCTCGTAAACTAAAGCCACTATATGAAGCTTTGAATGGCACATGATCAAACATAATAGACATTCATTGTCTGTTATATTTAACAATATATATATATATATATATATATATATATTTACATGGCCCAGTGGATAAAAGCATTGGTTGGATCCAGTGACTTGACCCAAAGAGTAAACAAAAACTTGGAGAGTCGAGTTAAAGGAAATAACTTTTTCAATTGCAGAAGCATGGCACGTGGAACTAGAACAATCTACTCCAGTGGATGAAATAAAGGGTTCAGTTTGAAATTCCAATCAACTGAAGAAGGCTG